TTTTTTTTTTTTTTTTAGTCAGATTCTCACTCTGTTGCCTAGGCTCGAGTGCAGTGGCATGCTCACGGCCACTGCAGCCGCAACCTGCCGGGCTTAGGCAATCCTCTCTCCTCTACCTCCTGAAGTGCTGGGATTACAGGCATGAGCCACTGTGCCCAGCTGCTTGTATTTTTAAAAGGTGTCAAATAGGTATCAATCATTTTAGTATATGTAGTATTTATGCTATTGATGGATATATTTAAGAGTTATTTCGCCGGGCTCGGTGGCTCAGCCTGTAATCCCATGCTTTGGGAGGCTGAGGTAAGTGGATTGCCTGAGTCCGCGGGTTCAAGACCCGCCTGGGCAACTTGGCAAGACCTCATCTCTACAATAAAATAAAATAAAAAAATTAGCTGGGTGTGGTAGCACACACCTGTAGTTCCAGCTACTTGGAAACCTGAGGCGGAAGGATCGCCGGAGCCCAGTAGGTCGAGGCTGCAGTGGCCGGGAGCGGCCACTGCACTCCAGTCTGGGTGACAGAGTGAGACTCCAACTCAAAAAAAAAAAAAAAAGTGATTTGACAATTTTTTTTTCAAATTATCAATATTCATAATATGCTGGATATTACAGCCTTTACAACAATTTAAACTTAAGGGTACTGAGTCTTTCAAAATTAGTGTAGAAGATATGAGAAGAAAGTAGTTTAGAGACTACTAGTGTAGAGAATTCTGTGACAACACAGGCTAGGGAAGGAAGGGATGGTGTCAGGGTAGGAATTGAGAGCCTCGAAATTATAGCTAATGAGATAGTAGGTGGCTGCTGCTAAGAAGAGATTGTCCTCAAATGCCCAAAGAGTTGAAACTATTCTCAAAGTAGTAACTTTACCTTTTCCCCCAAATCCTGGAAACCATAGACTCATTTTTCTAGCTGCTGACTTTCTCTCCTGTGTTTTCATAACCTTGTATCCTTTCTTCTTGTCCTTGACCTCATTTCCTATCCCTGAATCTGCCTTGTATCCTCTTCCCGTGAAGCTTGCCAGGTCCTTTTGTAGGCTATTAAAGCAGAACCAAAGAGGGGGAAATGACATCACCTTCAGCCATTCTCTATCATCATGCCATATCCTTGCCGCTTGGCTGCGCCCTTCACATTAATCTCATCACCTGCCTGACTGCCCAGCTCTGAGCACTATGTGCCCTGTTCAAGGCTAATGGGCGACTCCATGCCTTACTGTACAATGCAATAGGGAATGGTGCTGCTTTGCTGGGGAAGACAGTCATGAACTCCAGGAGATCTGAGAATGATGTTCCTCTGTCTCCTTAAAACCAGACTGCTGCAGCAACGTGACTCAGCCCTACTGCTCCAACAGTAGCCTTTTCCCACATGATGGCTGCCTTTCCTCAGTAATGAAGATTTCCACTTTTCTTTAGTACTTTAGTCTTCCTGGGTCTCTACTGCCTTTGAGATCACACTTATCTACTCTATAAATACTAAGAGTCTTATTTTTTTTTTAATGAGTTTTATTTGCCCCAGGATAGAATAGATAGTTGATTAGAATAAGAAAATAACAAGGGGTCAGATGCAGTGGCTCACGCCTATAATCCCAGCTCTTTGGGAGGCTGAATTGAGAAGATTGCCTGAGCCCATGGGTTCAAGGCCAGCCTGGGCAACTTGGCGAGACCTCATTTCTACAATAAGTCAAAAAATTAGCCGGGTGTGGTAGCACATGCCTGTAGTTCCAGCTACTTGGAAGGCTGAGGCGGAAGGATCACCTGAGCACAGCAGGTCAGGGCTGCAGTGGCCGAGAGCATGCCACTGCATTCCAGTCTGGGTGACAGAGTAAGACTCCAACTCAAAAAAAAAAGGAAATTAACAAGGGTACTTGCATAATGAGCATTTGTATATCTAACCCTGAGTTGTACCCCACATCTTTAAAATTAAAAATTAAAAACAAAAAAGAAGGGCTGGGCTCAGACTCAGCCTGTAATACCAGCACTTCGAGAGGCCAAGGCAAGTGGATTGCCTGAGCCCACAGGTTAGAGACCAGCCCAGGT